GGGGAACGCCTTGACGAGCGCGAGAAGAGAGAGCGCGGTGAGCGACTTCGTGAAAGTGTACATGGCTGAGTCCGCTGTGGAGATGCTCAGAGCACTGAGGGATGTCGGTGACCCCGTCGTGCTGTTTTATACTCCACAGATGGGCCTAGAGTGTCAAATCAGCCCTGTGCAGCTTTGCAGCTCATTAAACAAACATACAGGACACTTGCACATTGGAGCCATACGGCCAGGGCGGCGCGGTGGGGACAAGTAGGCTGAAAGACGAAATCGAAGGCGTTGCGTGTAAAAATACACAAGAGCTGTGTCAAGGCGTACCTTCCGAGACATATCTTGTTGAATCGCACCCCGTTATTAGCGAAGCATGATTGACGTGCGCCCTGGCTAATACTGTTAATCCTATACTCGCATAATGGAAGAAGTCGAAGGACAGAAGAACGGAATCGGGCTGGCCTACAACGCCCTGGTATCAGGCGGCATGCTGTTCCACTCAAATACACCGTCATAGTCGCTTGACTCGTCACGAGCTTTCTGTGGTTCCTGCGAAGAGGTTGAGCTATGCGACCTCCCTGGCATGGACTGGCAGAACGTGTCCTCCGTGGAAAAGGCGATCAGTGTGATCCCTGATTGCTCCCGAACGCTGCACACAACGGCAGGCGCAGTGTCTGGCCGGCAGCGTACAGCGTCAGAAGTTCTCAAACCGTCAGATTGTCGGCCCTAACGGGTCTTCCAACGCTGATTGTTTCTCGGGGTCGCGTCGGTACTGCTCGCCGGTCGGACGAGGAACGGAGAACAGAACATCCGCTGGTAAGGCGGGCACAGCCGCATACGCCGTGCTGCTAAAGCGGGGCTCGTATCGGAACCTGCAACATACGGCAATTTTACAACTGCGATGGGTTAGGAAGAGACGGGAGGCTGGCGTCATGGTGGTCGCCAAGTCGAAGGAGTACTAGTACTAGCATTAGTAATTAATATAGGCGCTTACGATGAAATGAACTTTCCGAAGTAAGTCTCGTACTGCAGGGAGAGTTTCGCCACCACATTACTATCCATTTCAATCTATCAAAGGAGCATGCTTGTATAACGTGTGGCAGAATGTGCGGATTCTCTTATTGTTTCTCACCAAAACCGCATTCGTACATAGGTAGTGATGTGCGGGCCGGGCCTCAAAGCCTGCGAGCCCGCCAAGCCCGGCCCAAAAAGCCTGACCCGAGCCAAGCCTGGCAGTGGGCTCAAGGCCGGGCTCGGAGCGTAGTCAAGCCCAAGCCCGGCCCGAAAGCCCAGGCTTGGGTGCACTGGCTCTGTTACTGTCCCCTGAGTTCAGAATAAGGTGAGAGATATCTAATATGTACATACCAGACATGATATGGATATTCTAGACTCGACGGTTCCCGCCGAGCACGACTGTGCATCACCGTCTGGTGTCTGCCATAGGCGCGCGCTCGTGGGCTTCATTGCAACTCGACTTATTCTGCAAGTGTACGTCTTCTGGAGGCTGAATTCAGTGAGTACATGCAGCAATAATCTACTACATCCAAACATACTCCCTTTTCATAGCACCAGAATATCCATTGTACTGTGAGCAAGCCCGGGCTTAAGCCTGCGGCTTGGGCCGGGCTCGGGCTCGGCTCGGGCTCAGGGCTCGGCTCGACGTTGCCACAAGCCCAAGCCCGGGCTTTGAGCCCAAGCCGGGCCCGCACATCACTATACATAGGCTTCGGCGTACACTGGGACGAAACACTGTTTCACGGACAAAGAGTGGCACAACTACTCGCAGAAGGAGCTGCTTAACATTTAAGCCATGCTCTACGGCCCTAAGTTGTACTACTAGGCTCCCTGCCCGGACCTCGGCCAAGCGTCGTTCTATTACCACGTAGATGCCCTGTCTCACCGTCGAGCTTTATGCTGGCGTCCACGTGTCGCTAGATTTTGGGCCGGTACTGAGACCTTCTGACGTAGAGGAGTGGATAGTGGACTCGAGTCTCGTCTGCCGAGCATCGATGACTCGACAGCCTATCTGCGGAGATGCGGCGGTTAGACTTAGGAACTATGAGACTGATCAGCTTGTTTCTGCGCATGTATAGTTGCACGAATGACACGATTCGAGTAGAGGACGTGCCCGTGGAAACTTGTGATGTCGTCATATATACAAGATTGCGACGTGTCGTCGTATTTGAACAGCTGATGCATCTCCGTAGTTACATTCGTACAATCCATATGCAGCATCGACTGACTGTCAGCAACCAACAATCCAACTGGACTGGGCTATGACAAGGCTGAGGAGACAGACAAGAGGAATGGAGGTGAGTAAAGACCAGCTCGAGTCTGGCTTGTTATTGAGCAGTACGAGCGCCTTATATACATGTCAGACTGAATATCTGGAATATCCTACAAATATACGGAGGTGTATAGAAAGTGAAAGAATACTATAGAATCTGGGAGAACCATCCGGAGTGTGTAATATTCATGACACTGACTAGATTATGGAGAGGTTACCATTCAACAATCCGTACTCTGTTCTCGGTTACGTCTGGGGGACAATCATCAGAGTGCTCTTCCTCTTCCTCTTCCTCCTCCTCCTCCTCTTCCTCCTCTTCAGCTGCTTCGTCAGGAGCATGCAGCGCCTCCTTCAGCTTCTCTAAGATGATAGTCCCATTCAACGTCTCTCTGTCCATCCTAACGAGCTCTTTACGAGATAGCAATCGATGCCTCTTGATAACCTGATGGGCGTCCTGCAGGACATCACACCGTTGCGCGAACCACGGGATGAGTGATGTGGACTTGCGTCAACACACCAAGAGGGATACTGCATGGATCTAATCAGAAGGCGGCGCCGATGAGGTCTGGCGACTGTGCATTAGCTTGTTCAGCTAGCCCAATTAACCAAGTGTATTAGTGACTATACTAATGTACAAACGAAGGCTTACCTAGCCCAATTAACCAAGAGGTTGAGATGGGGCTAGGTAGCGACAAAGGGGCTCCTTATATACTAGTCAGGTTGCGCACAGACCAGGCGTTATATAAGCGACTGTGCTACGGTGGCTGCTAGTGTCTAGGGGACTTTTCGGGGGAGCGAGGGTTGGTGTGTCATAGCGTATGATGTTGTCAGGCCGACAGAGATAGGATGTCCGTTGCCGACCAGACTCGGGGATAAACGGGGCCGGTGTGTCATAGCGTATGACGTTGTCGGGCCAACGGAGATCGGATGTCCGGTGGAGGCCGGAGTGTGGCTATTACCGAGGAAGCGCAATGTGGTGACGAGGCAGCGGTGATATGGGCGCGTCTGATGCGTTGATGCGTGCTTGTCGGTGATGCGTTCTCAAGGTGTTAGCACGCGGCTAGGACTTGTAAACTGGCTTCAATGCGCCGACGACGTTTGGAGGGTCGTATAAATGTGGAATAAATTGGGGAAAATGGAAATAAAATAGGAGGCCAGGGCTACGCCCACGACATTACCCCCCCCCCCCCCTACTACAATCGAGGCTCCTGATGAGAAGATATAGCCTGTATTCTGCCTGTTTCCCACTCGAATTCTGCCGCTTTAGAATTAGTGGCGAGTGTTGAGCTGGGATCGGTGTGTTCGTGGATAGGCTTGAAGCAACTGTGGAGCTCGCTGAAGGAGGTGGTGGAAATCTGTCGTGGTGCCAAGGGATTTTGCTTGTGGAAGTCGCGTATGCTTTCTTTGGCATGTACGTCTTTGGCAGAAATCCATTCGTCGGCACCTTGTCCGTATCCTTTCCATCTGATAAGGTACTGGAGCTGCCTGCGGTAGACGCGTGAGTCCAGTATCTTTTTGACTTCGTATTCTTCCTCATTGTTGACTACTACTGGTGGAGGAGGTGTAGGTTTGTTCATTCCATTGTCGTGGTATGGGCTGAGCCTATCAACATGGAAGACGGGGTAAACCTTGAGCCAGTTGGGTAGTTCGAGACGATAGTTAAGTTCTCCGATGACTTCGGTGATTGTAAACGGCCCTAGTTGTCTGGGTCCGAGTTTTCGAGTTTGCTGGTGAATCGAGATATCTTTTGAAGATAACCAGACCTTGTCTTCGACTTTGAAAGAGTGAGGCGAGTTTTTACGAGTTTCGTAGTCTGCCTACATCTTTTCTTTAGTCTGGCAGAGCGCTGCTTCTGCTTCTCTACGGATTTTGGCCATGTTGTCTAGTCTGTCGTTTAGTGCGGGGATGTTGGAGTGTTTTCCGGCTGGGACAGTGAAGTCGGGCCTATATCCATAGAGCACTTCGAAAGGAGAGTGCTCGTTTCCAGCGTGTACTCACGAGTTGAGTACGAACTCTGCCATTGGGAGCCATTCGTCCCAGTCGTCTTGGTGTTGTGAACAGAATAACCGGAGGAATTTGGATACCTCAGCATTCTTTCGTTCGACTTTGCCATTTCCTTCTGGGTGATAGGCTGTGGTTAAACCTGACTCTATACCAAGTCGTTTGTATAAACTTTGCATGAAGCGGGCTGTGTATTGGGGTTTGCGATTAGAGAAGATTTTGCGTGGGATGCCGTGATGTCTGAACACTTCGCGGAAGTGTATCTCGGATGCTCCTTCCGCTGTGAGAGTAGTGCGGCAGGGCGCGAAGTGTACTTGATCGCTGTAGTGATCGACGTAGACGGTGATGGCGTCATGTCTCCCTGGAGGTTTTGTCTGAGGAAGGGGGCCAATCATGTCAACTCCGATGTGTTGCCAAGGCCTGTCAGGAACTTCTTGTGGCTTGAGAGTCACTTTAGGACGTTTGGCTCCTTTGTATCTTTGACATTTATCGCAGCCAGCTACGTATCGTGCTATAGCGGGGTTCATGCCTGGCCATCAATAGTAGCGGGAGACTAATTCGATTGTCCTGTGCTTTCCTGGGTGTCCTGCCATAGGTGTATCATGACAGGACTCGATGATCTTATTACGAAGGGCGATGTCGTTTGGTATGTAGAGCTTGCCTTTGTAATAGACGAGCCCGTCATTCTCTTCCCATTCTGTTAGTTCACTGACTAGCTTGCGAGGCCCTTTTGTCTGGAGGCTAGAGAGAGCTGTGGAGACCTCATCGTCTAGTGAGGTCACGTCGCGAACTTCCTTTTCCAGTGGCAAACTTGTAGTGAAGGCCGTAGCGGCTAGTCATGCGAAATGCGCCGGACCTAGTTCCGGGCTGTGTGTAGCACTAACAAATCGGTTGTCGGGCAGGACCACTTGCATCTGGTTATCCATGTCGTCGGATATGGACTGAGAGCCGGGGCGAGAGAGTGAATCTGCGACGAGGTGTGTTTTGCCGGGTTTGTGAGTCAGCACGAAGTCGTAGTCGGCTAGTTCAAGAGCCCCATTGTGTAAGCCGTTGTGCTGTACGCCAGTATTGGAGGTTAGCGTGGTCGGTCCAGATTTCGAATGGTTTGGGCAGTCCTTCTAGGAAATGACGCCAATCTCTTAGAGCTTCGATTATAGCCAGGAGCTCGCGATCGTAGATTTCGTAGTTGTGCTCCGCAGCGTTCATGGTCTGTGATCGGAAGGTGATAGGATGCCATAGAGTGTCGTTCGGGTCTAGCTGGCTGATTTCTCCTCCGGTAGCGTAGCCTGAAGCATCGACTTGTACGCGTGTATCTCGGTCGGCGTGCCAGAAGGCGAGGATGGGCTCAGTGGTAAACTTGGACTTCAATGTATCGAAAGCCTGCTGTTGCGCAGAGCCCCACATGAAAGGAACATCTTTCTTTGTGAGGTCGTGCAACGGGCGGGCAATCTTAGAGAAGTCCTGGATAAACCAGCAGTAGAAGTTGGCAAACCCGACGAAACCTCTAACATCTTTTAGGTTTGCGGGCGCAGGCCATTCTGTGACCACTCTAACTTTTCCTGGGTCCATGCTGACTGATCCTTCGCTGATGAGTAGGCCTAGGTACTCGATCTGGTCCTTCTCAAATTCACACTTTTCTGGACGTAGATAGAGGTCGTATTCTTTGAGACATTCTAATACTTTGTGCACAATTTTTCGGTGTGAGGCGAGGTCTGAGGACCAAATGAGGATGTCATCTAGGTATACTGCAACCTTTCCTTCGGCAATGAGATCTGCAAAGATCGTTTCCATGAGGGCTTGGAAGGTTGCTGGCACGTTGGTAAGCCCGAAATACATGATGTGTGGTTCGAAGAGTCCTCTGTTAGTGACGAAGGCGGCTTTCCATTCGTCTCCGGCTTTAATCCTGACATTGGTGTATCCCCAACGGACATCAAATTTAGAAAAGATCTTTGCGCCTTGAAGCTTGTTGATAATATCATTGGCTAGGGGCAGTGGATATCTATTCTGGATGTGACGTCGCTGAGTTTGCGGTAGTCTTGAATAAGCCTGAGCTTGCCGTCCTTTTTCTTAATAAAGAAGATGGGCGAAGCAATGGGCGACTTGCTAGGGACAATATAGCCTTTCTTGATTGCGTCGTCGAGGAAGGCTTGCAGTTCCTGATTTTCTGCTGGGCTCATTGGGTTAGACTTTGGAACGGATTGTTGTAGGAGCGTCCGTTTTGAAGTTGATGGCATGATCCCAGGTCCTATGTTCAGGGAGTCTCATCGAGTCTATCTCAGAGAAGACATGGGCATGTCGATGGTATTCTTTTGGAACAAGCTGCTCGAAGGTTTTCGAGTACCTTTCCTTATTCTGCTCGATGGCGACCTTCTGAGAGTAGGTGTAGCCTGCTAGGCAATAAACTTTGTCTGTGGCATTATCGAGTATACCGGCCTTCACCCAGGCCCAGCGTTCTGCTCGATTAGCTTCGACTTTAGTTAAACTTGGTGATGCAGGTAAATCAGGTGATGCTTCTGAGCTGTCAGGAAGCATCATTTCGCCTGTTTCCCAGTCTATAGTGGGGTTGACTTTCTTCAGCCATGGTAGTCTGAGGATAATGTTTTCGGGGCCAATGTCAGTAATGAAGAAGTCGTATTCTTCGGAAGCTCGTGATCCAATTTTGACTTTTAGTTTAGCGTAGTGTGTAATTGTACCGGCACTGTTAGTTGAACTGTCAATGTTTCGGAGACCAATCTGTCGTTTGAGTGGTCGTTTGTAGATGTTATTCTCTCATGCGAATTTTTCATGCAGGAAGTATCTGGTGGCACCGGAATCAATCATAGCAGGGGTGCGTAGAGATTTGTTTATTCCTGACACTGTTACAAATACACGGAAGTGAGACGGGAGATGATCTATGGACGATACGGTACACGACGAGATGTGATCCGAGGGATCAGAGTCTGAGTATACAAGAGCCGGCACTGTTGAGGACCGCTCATCTAAACCGGGTGCCAGAGCTGCAGCTCTAGTCTGGGCCCTTGTTAAAAACCCTGGCTGATCTTTGCCATCAGCTCGGCTTGTTGTTTCTGCATCAGGACCATCATATCTTTGAGACTGGCTATGTTGGCAGCAGAGTCGTGGGACGCGGAGACGGAGGCAGATGTCGAGGGGCTAGTTGACAATGACGCTCGAACCGATTGCGATTTTGGCGGTTGCCCGTTTAGTCGAGATAGACAGAGCTTTTTCCAGTGACCAGGCTTGCCGCAGTGTTGGCACTTAGTGTCCTCATGAGCGCCGTCTGCCTTGTGACCTTTGGAACCGCAGACACGGCATCAACCGACCATGAGCTTATTGTATTGCTTTTTGATCTCGGCAGGATCCTTGAGACCTTGGAAGAGGTCGTCGAAGCACGCGGCAGAGATTTCCATAGTGCCGATGTCCGTGGCATTGGGGTTGCGGAAGCCTGAGGAGCGTGTCATTGATGACCGAGGTTGCGAGACCGGTTTGCCTTGATTGGCCGCCAGGTCTGCTTTCTGCAGATTGATTGTTGCTCCATATTTCTTTACCAAGTTGTAGTCCGTGGCCAAAGGGGCAAAGTAGGACAGCCTATTGAGATATTCTGAACTCATCCCGGACTTGAGACGATCGTAGAGGTCGTTGTCCGACCAGCCGGTGCGACGAGAGTATGTCTCGAAGTCGGAGAGATAGTCCGCAAATGTCCTGTCATCTTGTTTGATCGACATGAGCTTCTGCTTGGCCTCGTTCTTTGCATCGATGGGTTCAAACTTCGCTGAGAACTGCTTGACAAATTCGTCCCAGGAAGAATTAAACGGAGTGTTACCGTCTGAAAGTTCTTCGATGTGAGGGCGTGCCCAGACTGCTGCGTCATCCGTCATGAAGGAGAGGATACTGGTGATCATTTTGAGCGGGTTCATTATCCAGTTACCGGAGTGATCGAGAATGATAGCGTCGTTGGCGTCTCGCGAGGCGAATATTTCTTTGTTTGCTCGGACGTATACACGGAACATGCTGCGGAATAGCCTGGCTTTTTCTGATGATTTACCATCAAAAGTGGTCGGTTTCTCAACAAAGGACCGGGACCGGAAGGAGGCGATGGACGTAACCGGCTGACGTGTATTTGCCACGAATTGATTCACGGTGGTCGTGAGATTGTTGACGTTTTGGATGAGCGTGACCATGAGGTTCATAACGTCTTGCATGGTGGGGCTGTGGCGCGGGGGGGATGTCCATTGCTGTAACCGGTTCTTCCAGGTGGTACCATGCTCGGATCCGTTCTTCTTGTTTGCTATTGATGAACAGATACGGTGAATTTTCAGCGGTAACTGGTTGTGTGCGATGCTCGTAATATTGGTTTGGACAGAGATAATTTGAGCAAGTGTTTAATTCTCTCCTGTCGTCTAGATGGTAGTCTCGTGCTTCCTCAAAGTTGAAGATGTGAGCAAAGGCCGCGCAGACTAAGCGAGTGTCTGCCACTTTTTCTGATTCGTCCGAGAGGACCGAGAACGGATTTATAGAAAGTGGAAAGGGAGTTCTAGGAATAGCTGTACTAGTTCTAACTCGACGAGATGGTCGAGTGCGTAATCTAGTATGTACGGGTTGAGGATTCGCTCCTTGTCGTAGTCTATGTATTCAAAAACTATGTACTCCTCCAGCTTAATCAAAATATCTGTTAACCCAAACTGCACGAAGTGCTTTAAAAATCTGGACTCAGTTGCACCACAGTCCTTTGAATGAGATCCCTCCGATCTGTTTTAACCCTGAGTCCCAATGGTTCCACTCCTCGATGCTGATGACACGGGACACGTCTTTGAGAGTGCAGTCGAGGTGGGCGAGTCGATCATGAAGCTTGAAGACGACACTGATGTCGTTGGCTAGGACGTTGGGGCAGTCTAGCGTTTCAAGGACGTTGAAGCGTTTGAGGGTGGCTGCAAACTTCGGTGCGAAGATGCGAGCGAGGTCGGCGGCTAAGTATCGAGCGAAGTTGATGGTGACGGGTTTTGGGGCAATGGGCGTGTAGGTGGGAGTGGCGGTGAGGCGATCGGCTAGAGGTCGGCTGGAAGAAGCACTGGCGTGTGCATTCTGTCTAGCGTTAGCTTGATCGCGTTGCGCTCGGAAGTGCTGGCAATCGTCGTGTGCTGCGAGTTTAGCCTGTTCGACTGTGTCCCAGTTGATGGTCGGGAGTGCGGTGGAAGGCAGCAGGAGTGTGGAGACGTGCCGGACGACAGCGCAGAGTTCGGTAGTAGTGTACTGGTGGAGGGCGCCTGCCTCGCGTTCTCGACTAAGTTGGTCGAAGACAGCTTCGGGCAGCGTGCGGCGGAGGCGGGGGTGACGCTCGTCCGCGAGGCGTTTGAAAGCGCGGGGGCAGTCAGGCAAATCCTTCGGCACTGGTTTTATGCAGGGATTAGCGCTGCGCGCGTACGTCTGCCACCAATCGCCGAAGAGACTTACTCTTCAAACGGTGGAAATAAACTTTTTTAAAACTGTGCACGGGGCACTGGATAGGGGGTAGTAGTCCAGGTGCACGAAGATCTCAACCTAATGATGTGGACTTGTGTCAACACACCAAGAGGGATACCGCATGGATCTAATCAGAAGGCGGCGCCGACGAGGTCTGGCGACTGTGCATTAGCTTGTTCAGCTAGCCCAATTAACCAAGTGTATTAGTGACTATACTAATGTACAAACGAAGGCTTACCTAGCCCAATTAACCAAGAGGTTGAGATGGGGCTAGGTAGCGACAAAGGGGCTCCTTATATACTAGTCAGGTTGCGCACAGACCAGGCGTTATATAAGCGACTGTGCTACGGTGGCTGCTAGTGCCTAGGGGACTTTTTCGGGGGAGCGAGGGTTGGTGTGTCATAGCGTATGACGTTGTCAGGCCGACAGAGATAGGATGTCCATTGCCGATCGGACTCGGGGATAAACAGGGCCGGCGTGTCATAGCGTATGACGTTGTCGGGCCAACGGAGATCGGATGTCCGGTGGAGGCCGGAGTGCGGCTGTTACCGAGGAAGCGCAATGTGGTGACACTACGGGCATCCCCAGATTTCAGAGGGCCCGAAATGTCCCAGACAAGGCATCCGAAATGTAACATTTCGGGAGACTTTCCAGCAACTTTCCCGAGTGCTGAAATGCTCACTTTTCTGTCACTTTTGAGGCAATTTCTCTTGTCAGAAAAGGCTGTCTGTCACGCGCTTTGAAATAAACCTGAAACATCCCAGTTAGGCAGGCTGTACTGGTCATATGAGTGTCCCGGAAATTGCCGGGAAAGCCATCATTACTGATGGCTTTGTAATACATTTCAGGACATCAGGAACAAGCGCTTTCGGAGATTCGGAAATTTAACAGACCAAAAAACTGATGATAGTCCTGAAATACTCTTAAAATGTCTCGAGCAGGTATAATTAAGGTGCTCATAAAATGTATGTAACAAATTACCTTTTATGGTTGCTGAAACTATAGCTGCCATGTCCATTTCAGGCCCATTTCAGGCCCATTCAGGCCCATT